TTTTTTTTCATTATCCTGTCAATTTAAAATCAAAAAAGATTTAAAATTTCATGACTTTAAGAGACCCATTATGTTATGGAAGACGAAAAAACGAAGATTTTTATTATCATTCTTCAGTCACATATTTCTTAAGAATGTGCTTTGAAGTGTGGAAAGAAGTAATTATTTCCCTTTTTTCTTCTTCTACTTCTTGCTCGTGAATCATTGCTACAGCCATACACAATAAAATTTTTAATCTTACCTTACTTTTCACACTTTCGTTTTGATTAATGGATTTATAACTAAGTATCTGCCAAAAACATCAGGTAACAAATTTTCTACATAAAATTTCTATATAAAAATGAAATCATGTGAATTTTATAAAAAAATAGTATATAGAACAAAATATGTATGCCAAGATGCGATTATTATCGGGCTGCATGACTTCATAGAAAACAGAAAATCTAATAATAATGAGTCATAATTTTTTAAAAGTGTAAATTGATAATAGGGTCAATAATTTAAAAGTTATTTTAAAGAACAATTCTATGTAGAAAATAAATCATTCAAATTTCTTCCAGATTACACATACTTTCAATCTCAGAATTTAAGTTAGGATTAATTAATATTTAATTAAAATTATGTGAATTTAAAGAAAAGAAATTCTGTGGAAAAAAATAAAGGTAATTGCGGCGTTGTAAGAATCAGATTATGTGCAGCAGTATAAAAGAGAAAGTAATTTGCCGTAAAGCTCTTACTAAAATATTGCCTTTCATTTATGAATTCACACTCATCTTCATCATTTAAAAGACACTTGTTTAAATTACAATTCAATTAAAATACTTTAGGCGCTCATTCTACATCAAAAAGAACGATTTGTATTTTTAAAAACTCATCAATCTTAATCCATTGCCTTAAATATATATTATGAGAATAATAATTAAGAACCTTGAAATAATTCTTAAAATTATATCTACATATTAGACATATACAATATTTTCTATAATATTTAAAATTTTCGATAATGAGTCCACATATTAAGTAGTATACATATGAGTCAATTAACGATCTTGAATTCGCTTTTACTTTTATTGTTCCATTCATACACCGCATCCTTAATTTTAACCGTATATTTTTTATGATATCTATTAATATTTTTAATGTTAATGGTAGTCATATTAAAATTTTCCAACAGTGTTAATCTACATGAGATGTTTAATATTTAAATATCAAGAAAATATTATTTTCATCCATTAATTTATACACATATTTATATATGAGAATATATATATATATATCGTGTTTACAAGCGATTCCATAATAATAATGATTTTAAGCTTTATATTCATGTCATTATGATACCTGAATACATCAGAGAAATCTTCAGATAAAATCTATATATGAAAAACACAGTATATATGAAAAATGGAATAGAAATTCATAAATTGAGCTTATACACAAACGTTGACTGACTTCTTTATTTGTATTATTGTGTGTTCGAGTTACGAAGTACCTACATATATATTTTTAAGTCAATATTACAGTAAAGTTAACCATCATCTTCCAAACTCATTTATCTTATTACATATATTATTTGAATATTACTTTAAATATTATTTTGGGATATATCACACGTAATTTATATCCTGCCAGTTTATTATATTTTTTCTAAATTTTTTCGTGTATAAGGTATATGTCAGATAAAATAATGATTTTTTGACAAAAGTTATACTTATGGGTAATATGATGCGAGAGATGAGTAAAACAACAGGGGGTTATTAGACTCAAGTCAAAAATTTACCTTTAAAATTGATTTAGAATTCTATTTAGGGCTAGTGCATGAGAAATCATGCACTAGCCCTATGCTCCTTCTAGGAGTGAACAAAGGAAAAAAAAAAAAAAAGAATTCTGTATCTAAGGTAAATTTGAGCTATTGAAGAAGATATCGGGATAAGGTATACAAGACCAATCACTTAATACCACTTCTACTGCAGGAAAATTAGTGTTTTAAAAATTTCACCTCAGATCGAAATTAGTTGAATTCAAGTGAAGTTAAATCAATCGAAGAAATAATTATTATTTTTTCTACAAACTCACAAGATTTAGATTAATTATTATACATTGCATACATTGCAATTACCAAGTTACAAAAGTGTTGATTGCCAACTTCAAAAACAAATTTTTATTAAAATTAATAATATAAAAAAAAAAATTATGATTAAATAAAAATGTCATTATTTTTTATCAAAAAATTTAATATTCTTTAAAGCACAAATACTTTCTATCCTTGAAAAATAATTGAATGACGCAAGCTGTGTATATTTTGTTTATTAAAAGGATAACATGTACGATGAACGATGAACTTATAAATAAACTCATTTGAAAAAATTCACTCAATTGAGTAAGAAATTTTCCCCTACTTCCTTTTTCGTTTTTCTTTTTTTTTCTTTTTTGGATTTAAATTCAAGAAATTTGAATTCTTTTAATAACATGTGTTTATGGTGTTTTCCTCTTCCATTATCCTAATTTTTTCTCTTAAAATCTCTTAAGGATCACGAAATGTGTCGATATTTTTATGATTTATTGGAAATGGATTGATGTATTAGGTTCTTGGGTTTTAATTTTTTCTTTCGCTCAAATTTTAAATGTATGTACATTGTTATTCAAGGATATTAATTATGTATGGATTAGCTTATCTGTAATGTTATTTATGTATGCATATTTATTGAATATATTTTTTGAAAATTAAGAAATGTGGAGGATAAAGCACGATTTTGTATTATTTTTTTTGTGTTTTGGGTTTCGATTTTGCGTATTTCCTTCATTTTCCTTTTATTTTTTGCCGAATAAAGCATTCCGGTTTTAGCGATACTTTGTATCATAAGTGGAAGTATTTTCTGTTTTTTTTTTTTTTAAATTTCATTGAAATTAAATGCGGTATCATACTAGATTGTTTGTTAAATCAACCTCATATATGGAATTTATTTTTTGCTTTAATCTTCTTTATTTGCCGCTTAATAATTATTGAGAAATAATTTTAACGGGATTATGCGTTAAAAAAAAATTGGTTTTAACGTGTGGGTAAAATTTTAACTATTTTGTAAGATCAAAGTAAAAATTATTTTAGGAGAAAATAAAATTTGAATCCATAATTTTTGATAATTTGATCAAAGTGATATTACGATATTTTGATAAATAAATAGATAATACGATACCACTCAAAAGAATAATTAAAATGATAATCCTCTAAAGTAAAATGAATGGCCACGGAGCTGTTAGCGTCTAAGAAAGATGGAGCACTGCAAATTAGAATACCAATTGCACTAAAAATGGGACAACTTAGGGACCATTTGTCTAAATTTTGTCATGATGAATATGATATTATTGATATTGATTGTTTAGCATTGACCATGAGGCCATTGATTCACTAAGGGGGCATACGTGGTATAACATTCGGGGCTTTGCAAAATGTTACAATAAGTTTTTAAGGCTGCAGTGGCCTGGCGTGAGGTTGATCCCTGCCAATTTACGAATCTAATCTAATTTAATTTAAATTGAAATAAAAAAATAAAGAGAATAATAAATTTATATTTGACGCAAGAGATTCAGAGATTGGGGAACTTTGCTTTGACTAAAATGAGCTTTAAGTCAAAAATTGATATAAGTTAATTTTAAAAATTCTTAATTTTTTTCCCAAATATCGCACGCTGTGAAATTTCGCAAAACAAAATGAGTTTACGTAAAGGATAAATTCAAAACTCTAATAATGCTGTAGTAAAAGACTTAAATTCGCTTTCATATGATGAAAGCTGGGCCTATAGCTTTCCCCTTACTAAAGCTTTATAACATTTGAAGTCATGTTCTTAATAACCTTGATAGTAAAATATTTTATAGTCAAGAACCCTTTAATTCGAAAAAACGCAAAGAAGTATATAAATAGATTTATGAGAATTTTACTTTAAGAAAGACACTCTGATTGAAGAACTTGTAAACTGAACTGATTTTTTAATAAATTTTTTTAAAATTTACAGAATGTGCAAAAAAAATATACTAATTTAAACATATTCAAGCATCACCAGAAAGAAAAATAAAAACAATTCAATTTTAAAATAAAATTTTCATGACATCACTTTAGATTACCATAAGCACCCGGAAATAATACGATAACAGGTGAGGTAAATGCTTCAAATATAAGCATATGATTTTAGAATAAATAAAAGCGGTCGTTGATATTTCTAAAAAAGTTCATTTACATTTTCTAAATTAAGTACCAACTGGGACCTTATTTTATCCACCTTTGTAACAAAATTTTGTATAATATCGTAAATATACATAAGAGTAGTATCAGAGGCATTATTAGAAAATGTTTACGTAAATACTTTAAAATTTAAAATCAATAGTTTAGTTAAAATGTTAATTTATAATCGATAGCCTTTTCAGGTTGAATAATCAAAGTGTAACTGTAAACGGAGAAGAGAAACGGAGATTTAACAAAGGAACAGGTAATCATAATTGAAAACACAAAGGTGTCATCTACAATTTTTACAAAAATGGGTTTATTGCATAAATAGAAGCTTTACATGTTTACCTTTTATATGCGAAACCCGTTTTTCAAAAAACGACTCTGTTTAAGAGATAGCTTTAAAAGGTGTTATGTCACACTTTTGAATTATTTCGCTTCGAAAGAAGGTTAACTTACACGCAACTTCAGAAACTGTAGCTGAAACCTTCATTCACTCGTGTTTTCAATTATGTATGAAATTGTGAGAAAGAGCCATTTGCTGTGAATACAATGAAAATTGTCGAAGATTGGTTTTATACAGAAATTTTGAAATGATAATATGAAATTAAAGAATAAGAGTCCCTTCGACAAAGGAAATGTGCTTTTAATTATTTTGTTCATTTTAATTAGTTTGGGGCATGTTTTCCTTTTAATAACAGTTATTACAAATAATAAAATTATTTTTTGACTTCACTAAAATTAATGATTCTTTCTATTTTTTATTTCTTTTTAGAATTGAATGGTGATCCTTTAAAACAAATTGTAACACATTTTTACTATTTTCAATCAAAAAGGTCAATAATTTAACAGTAAATTTTGATAGGACCATTGAAAAGGAAATACCTAAAATCAGTAATAATATTGATGGTTGTGTGGTGAATAAATATTTTATTATTATTTTGACAACGGTAACAAAAAAGGATTAAAATAAAATAAAATAAAAAAAAACTGGCTTCCGTTCGGTGCTAATATACATTTTGATAAATTGACAGCTATTAAAAATGAATGAAACATTTCAGAATAATATTAATGGTAATATAACAGAAAATCCTTTAGCAATATATGAAGCTGCTTGCTATGAAAAATGGAGTAATACACCCCCATTATACTCAAATGGTAAGTTAAATTTAAAGCAAGAAAACTATATTAAAGCATTTTCATCATACCCTAAAATCATAATAAGCAATATAGCATTAGATGAAGTTTGAGTACTCAGAAAATTGAGTCTTAATAATTCTTAATTTAATATAACTGTTGTATGAAGAACTGTGTTTTTCAAACATCAATAACGTAAATCAAGTAAAAACTTGATGACTACTTTGTTTACAGTAAGGAGCTTATTATAGTCTGTGATTGAGTTTTACAAATATCGGCATAGAGAATTTTTAGAGAAATGTCGTTGTTTGATTGATTTATTTGTGCACCGCTTCATTTCAATTTTATGAAATTTTGAAGTATATCCGATCCAATATCCGACAGTATATAAATTAAAATTCCTGTACAATTGAGCTTGAGTGTAAAATTAAGACTTGTCAATCCATTTATGATTTGTAAAACTCTATATGTATACAATAATGTGTTTCATATAATATGAATATACTGTATGTATTTACTTTGTTCTGTCAATATCCTAATTGCCTTCATTTAGGATGAGAATAAAGTAATAATTTTTAATTGAATTTCAATTAAATCAGAATATTAATTCTAATTATTTAAAAGAATTTTACTTTAATTTTTTCTTTTAATTTACAGTCACATATATACTTAATTCATGCGGTCAGTATAATAAAATCTATATTTTACTTTGAAAAACTTTAACAATTACACAGTATGCCTAATTGAAAAAAAAAACAAAAATTTTCCCAAAAAGAGGAACAATTTTTTATTAATTACAACTGACTGTATAACAAGATCATAATTATATAATTAATAAAACAGAAAAATGACTAACCATAAAAATTTCTAAAAAAAAAAAAATCAACTATAATTTATCATACTTAAAATCTATTCAAAATTGAGGTTCGCCTTATGGTAATTTATAATAATAATTGTTTCTCATTACAATATCTAACAAAACAATATACCTATTTCATGTCATATCCTTTGAATTATTAATAAAATTGTCAGACGATTATCTGTCATACAAATCCAAAAAAAAAAAAAACAACAACAACAATAACAGGAAAGGAAATGTAACTTTTCTCTTTCAACAAAATTTACTAAAAATTTTCACTACATAATCAATAAACTCGAAAAAAAAAATATTCTAAATGACGAACGAGTTATGAAAACCCTTTTCTATAAGTTCCTTTTTTTTACATATATACAAACACAATAGCATATATGCATAATGTAATAATATAAAAAAGTATTATCCTTAATTGAGTTATTATCCTTTTTATTTAGAATAAAAAAAAATAAAAGAGGAAAATACTTTTTATCACTATTACAAATCATTTTTTATTTAGGAAAAAAGGAACCCCAAATATTCTTTTTAAGTTGAGGTTTGAGATTAAAAACAAAAAATATCAAAATTTGGTATAGTGTCATAATATAACAGTAAATTGTTTCAATTTATATTTTCTTCCGCCATACTAGGAAAACAAACACAATTTGACATTTTTCTGATTTGTTTTAAAATTGTTGAAAGGTTTTCCTCTGTCTACAATTTTTTAAAAAGAAAAAATTTACAATTTAATTTTTTAAAAAAATTTTTAGTTGTACCAAATCTGCATTGTATTAGAAATGAGTATAGGAATAGAGCTATGAATTCTAAAAATAATCGAACGAATATTATTTCAAAATGATAATTTTCGCATCCAAGTGAGTTTACAATCGGTGAATTTGATAATCTACTGGATTTTCTCTGAAAAATCTCCTAATCGAGTTTTGTGCATAATATTTTCACAAAAATCGGAAAAATTTTGACAAGTATCATATATGCGCCTCATGATACTTTAATTAATTCCATTTATTGTGAGTAAGTGTATTAATTAGTTTTGGCACAAAAAAAACGAGAAAAATTTGTGAGTGATATCATTTATGAATTTTTTTTTGGAATATGTTTAATATCATTTGTAAGACTTCATAATGAAGTCTTAATCAAATGAAAAATTTTATACTACTTTATATCCTTGTATAATGGTGGTCGAGAAAATCCTTCAACATTCCCGGCATTATTGGAGTGAATCCATAAACAAATACCATAAAAAATTTGTAATTTGTCGTTCTCAAACAGAATTTGATAGGGAATAACGTTTTGGTACATTTTATTTGTGAGATACCCTGATTTCTTTTAACTTAATTATCTCACCAATTGAAAAAAGAAAATTAAAACTATTTTGCATTTAAAATTTTGTGGCCGCAAAATTTAAAAATAAGTATAAAACTAAAAATATCAATTCACAGAGCCCATGTTATGTTCTTTTAAATTTCATCTGAAGTTCAAAAATTTTAAGGATCAAGTTAAAGATAAACTTGTAATTACAGCTTTGATTTATTTTGAAAAAATTTTTAAAATTTTTTAAAATGTACAAAATGAAAGACGGCAATCATACAAGCGCTAAATTTTTTTTTATATTAAAATTTATATTTAAAAGTTTTTTCAGTTATAATCCTTTTTTAGCTCACCATTTTTATTTACTAATAATTTTATTCACACATCTACATCTACATACATAAAAAATATTTTCAAAAATATTAATATTTAATTTTATTGTTGTTTTTTGTTTTCTTTACATAATCAGAGACCGTTTATTGTCCTCGCACATGGGATAGTTGGTTATGTTGGCCAGATACATTGGCTGGGCAAACAGCTTATGAAAAATGCCCTGGATTTATAACAGGATTTGATCCAACTAGTAAGTATTGATTTTTGATTTTGTTATTTTTTTTTTGTTCATTTTTTCCATTATAATTTCATTTATTTGGTTTTTTTTTTCATTTTACCCACATTGTCCTTTTTCATTCTTATGACATTTTCTTTCTCTTATTTGTTTTTTTTTGTTTTTTGCTCTGTACTTTTCTGAATGAATATATTGGGGATATATAAAAATGAATAAATGTATATAAAATAAATGTAAGTTTTTTTTTTATCTTTCTTATGTAAATTATAGCAGAAGTTCAAGGTTTTTTTTGGCCTTTTTTTCATATATCGTATACAGGATGTGGTATGATATTCGTTTTGTGCTTTTCAAAATTCATAACAGTTTTAAATTATAAAGGATAGAATAGCATTTATAAACATGTGTGTCAGATGTCTTTCATGCATATAAGGCGCAAATTTGTTTAATAACAAAAAAGTATTATGGACATTTATAAATATTATAAGAGAAAAATTTTAAATATTTTTTGTGTGCTTTTACCCAAATTTACATGTTAGCATTTTTAACTTGAATATACTTAATTAAAGTTTTTGATTAATTCGGCATTTTATTTATATAATGAGATTTTCAAATTTATTAAATGAATACAATGAAAATTAAAAACTGAAAAAATTTGATTTTCTCAGAAAAATTTATAATTTTTGTAGCCTCAACGCACATAATCAAATGAAAATGTGAAAAAAATCAATTGACTTAGATTAATATATAAGTGAATACTTATAGGAGCATGAAATAAGCAATGTGTGTCAAGTCACATAATATCAGCGAAAATAGTTAAATATCAAAAATTAATTGAATTGGATTTTATTTTTAAATTTGCTTTTATTACCAGAATTTTTTGTGTATAATGTATGCATGCATTCTGCTGACAATGTTATTGATGGTTATTTCCATTTTTTCTTAAATTTATTGACCATCCTACTATGATGACATATAACATCATCATACCGAATTCGTTTTTACTTAAAGGAATATAATTTTGAATATAAAAAGTACAAGCAAGTTTTGTATTGACTTAGAACGAATTGCCACTAAGTGTAAAGCTCCAACAGTCATTGATAGTGCAACGAACTCTACTAATTTATTCCAAGTAAATTGGTGCAATGATTGTGTATAGTTGCTTCATTAAAATTATTTAACCATTACACAAACCTATTAAATACACTCTGCTTTATATTCTATATAGAAAATGTACTCTCTGATATTTTTTTGTTTTTTGGAAATTTTCTTGTTTTACCATAATATTAATTTTTAAATGCATTACGAAAATTGTCATTGTACAACTCTAATTTCTTTTAATTTTCATTATAAAATATTATAGTTACACATGTGAATAATTTGTGATATTATCAGATTTTACAATTGCCCGAAGATTGTTAGCTAGTCATTTCATGAATTTTCATTTTTATTTAAAGAAATAAAAATCACAAGTCATCCATAAGGAAGCTAAACAAAAAAAAATGCATTTTCATTTAATATTGTGTTTGCGTTTTATTTTCTTACATCAAATTTTTTTTTCCGCTTTTAGTTTTATTCTTAAGTACATTCAATTGCTGCTCTTATTATAATTATTACAGGTTTCCTGACGTGACTTGGCTTCCATTTGGAGTAGATATTGTACAAACAACGAGAATTTTTATGATTAAAGTAAATTTTCTCAATCATTTCTTTTATTATTCAATCCTACATTAAAATGTATGAGAGTCTCCATTATGTCTACACAAATAGAATTTAAAATTTTTACTATACTAAAATTCACTATATTATTTTATTACCATATTATGTTATATATCTACACTTATACATATATGTTACTTATATTTAATATTTACACATTTACATATGTATGTAAATATTATAAAAAATATCCTTAAAGGACAATCAAAAATATAAAAAAAAAATTTTATTTTGAAAATGTGAAAAATTTTTAATAAAGTCAAAATTAATGAAGAAAATTAGATACTAGAAGAAAATTCAAAAGAGTACAGAAATTAATCTTACAATGGATAGGACAGTAAAGCATACGATAATTGCAATTTAAATAACGCTTCTACAAATAAACTATGCTTATGCCTTGGCCTTAGCCTTTATTTAATATTTATTTTATAACAGTGCGTACTATTGAGGTCGATCTTGTACAAGTACAATTTAAACTAAATTTATTTATAATATTTTTAATCTCTATTTAAAATAGAAAAAATTAAATGTCTAGGTTAAGTGAATAAATTTTAAAAAGTTTTAATTGGAATCGTTTGTTACAATAACTGACCACAAAATAATTTTAGTAATGAAACCAATGAAGCATGTTTTCGCATTAATATTTCTATTCTCACGTTTTAATTAAAATTAGAGAGACTTTCATAGAAATTAGAAAATTTCTATAAAAAGTAATACACTTTTACCCATAAAACAACTACAATAATATAAATTTATTGATTTTAATAAAAAATTTCTATAACAATTGTAAAATTCTTTTCTTATTTCACTCTCATTCCTTTTAATTACATTTGGTGGTTTAATTTTCTTCAATATACAGCAGGAACATTTTAAGTGAAATTCCATTTCTTCACAATTTCACTTTAATATTCTTCTTTAATTTAAAGAAAGGATTAACCAATAATCATTTACTATGTATACGGTAAAAAAAAATATTAGTTTTATTTTCTTTATATCCTTTTTATATCCTCATTGAAAGTATTAACTATTAAGTTAAAATCTAGAAAAATAAACACACATTTCTACTATTATTTTATACATTTATTTTCCTTTTAACCTACAAAACAAATGCTTAGAAGTAAATTTGTATTCTAACACACAATGTGTATTTAAAAATATATATATATGTATGTACGTTTAACTAAAATATACAATTATATGTAGTAGAATAATAGAAGTGAACAATTTAAGTACATAATTATACAAACGTAAACAATCAATGTGAATTCATTTGCAAGAAAAACGTTTAATTCTAATCTCTTCTTCACTGTAAATCTCCATTTTATATCTTAAGTTCCTTAAATATTCAAAGTGTATCTAATGCTTTTTGCATTTTGATTTTAGATTTTTATTTGCTTTACTTAATCATCATATAGAATAAACTAAAAATTAGCAGTTCCATATCGAATACAAAATTCTTTTCAATGCTTCTTAGATTATTTTGGCATGGACGTCAAGAAATTTGTCACGAAAGCTATTTAATAAACAAAATCACCTTTTGATCATATAAGACGTTACTGCAGTCTTTTCCAATGTTGTACCCTTATAATTACTACAATCACTAAATGCTTTAAACATTTTTGAAGCAGATTATTAAAATTATTCAAAATCATTGGAAAATTCTCATTTTCTCGACGGGATTTGACAAAGCATTTGATAAAATTCATAAAATATACGACCCCTGATTAAATAACATTGATGATACGCTAAATTATAAACAATAATTTTAATTAATAACATCATTTTAAACATAAATACCCGAGAGTTGCCTGAATTGAATTAAATTATAATTTGTTCACGTTTTTGTTAGTATATATTACGATTTTATAACTCTAGTATATTAATTAATTTATGGTTTGTATAATTCAAATAAGTACAATAATATTTGTACACGTTTCTATTCCCAATGTGTATGCAATATAAAAATACATAGAATTTACTTGTATTGAAATTCCTGTTATTTGATGATTCGACTAATTATTTTATGCTATATTTTCACTAAAACCTATTTATATTTTTTTTTAATCACAAAAGTTATGTGTAAAAGTTAATCTCATTAATTTATCGACACATATGTATAACACTTTTGCGCTTATATGTAGAATATTTTACTTTAAATACTTACAATATTACAGTTACATTAAAAAAGGATATAATTTGGAATATATTGTAGGTGAACTTAGGATTTATATCATTCTTGAATTAATAATAGTATAGCTTGTTGTCTTGGAACAATTTCCATCAGAGAATTGAAAAAGGATTAGTATTTTGTTATGGTGTAATTGTATAATTGTATTCTTTATAGGTGCAATATAAAATGACAATAACTTGTGAGCAAATAATTTCCAAACACAAAGTTAATTAAACGGAATGAATTACTCTTTATATTTTTGTGTAAAATTTCAACACCTTTACTACAAATTATTTTTTCAAATTTGAAAAAATTCGGGAAATGCTTCTTTGATTTACGACAATTTTATTCTTGAATATTAACTTTTTAATTTTCTAACACCATTTCTTGTTCATAACATACATTTTGGTATTTCCAAGAGAGTTGAAGTTTTAATGCATTTATTGCAATAATTTTTGATCCCTTACCTCATTGAAAAATAAACTAAAATAGAATCGTTTGGAATTCCTTTACCAAATACTCGTATTCATACGTCAGAATAAGTTCCACATATATTACAAATAATTATAATGTTACGATTTTTGAGAATTTTACGTTGATAAACTTAGTTTTCTCGTGAAAAACTCAAAAAATTATGTCGGACTTTAAAGTTTATAACACTTGGCAGTTTCACAATGCAGACCAAAATGTTAAAATTTTATGATCACTATTTATAATTTTAAAAGACATAACTATCTTTTGTTGCAATTTATAATATATTTTACAACAAATTATAATTATGTTTCGGAATAGCTAAGAAAATTTTATAAAATTTGGAAATTCAAGTAAATGTTCTAGAATTAAACTTATCAGTTGTATATTACATGTGTGTACCCTTTTTAATACTATATGCCTTCTACTCAAAGTCAATTCTAATAATACTCAAATTCTGAATATTTCGATAGGCAATTAACTTTTGTTTCCTTTTAAAAAGTGTTAATAACATAAATTATGTATGTATGTATTTACTCTAATTATTGCTTAATTTTCAAGGGATTATAATATCAAAATGAATTTCTTTAATGGAAAAAATCTATTTGAAAAACTTATGTCTATAATTAACATAGAAAAATTTCCGAATGATATAATCAAATATAACAAAAAAATTAAGTAAATTAATTCTAATATAAGCGTATGATGGTTTCAGTGTTATAGAATAAAAGAAGGATAATATCAGTTACCAAAGATTATATAGTTGTGCAAATAAATTCAATATTCTATCATCTTTTGTTATTATCGAGTAAGGATTCGTTAATAAAGTTTTGAAAACAAAAAATTCATGTTAAGAGCCTCTTTCTTGAGAATTTTGTGATTAGTAAACGAACATAAAATTCAGATTTATTAGATTTATATTATAATTATTATCAATAATAAATTCTTAAATAAAAAACAATATTTGGAAACAATTTTATTTTGTTAAGATCCTTGTACGATTCAGGATGTTGATTTATTTATGTACCACCTTATATAAATATTTGTTCTTTTTATGTTTGAAATACTATAATAGTTATTTTATTTCTATTCCACTGAGTAATGTTAAATATAATTTGCCATGTATTAAGCAAAATACGATTAAATTCAATTATTCTTCAACTTTTAATTAAATAGGAAAATTTTGGGTATATTTGTAAAATAATAGGTTATTAATGAAATTTTAATATTTTGTTCGGACTATAAACATAACAAACGATAAGTTTTACGATATGCTAATTTTAGTGCAATAACAACATTTAATAGGATTTAATATCATCAGCATTTTAATTCTAAAGTAGCACAAAGCTCATAATTTATAAATCCAAAATATTAAAATTTAAGATCTGAAAAATTTTATATTTTTTTTTAATATCTACTTAAATTTTATGGTAATAATTAATTTCGGAAAAAAAAAATAAATAATTCTGGAAAAATAAAAACTAAATAAAATTTATAAAATCTTTAAAAAAGCAAAATTATCCTTATACTTATCCTTATACTTGTGTACTTCTAAAACAAAACAAAAATGTGCCTAATTTGAAAATTTTCTAAAGAAAACAAAATCTAACCTTAAAATTTTTTCTTAGAAGCCTAAATGAATTGAAAAAAAAATTGTTTTCTTTTAAAAGTTTTCTCTTTTGACCTTAATATTATTTAATTACCCAATTATAACTTGTGTATTATGAACAAAAAAGCAAAAGAATAACAAAAAAGAAATTGAAATTTTATAGAGTCATTTTAAGTCATTAAAAAATCCACTTAAAAAACAAAAACACAGCAAAAACTTGCAAAATAATTAAAATAACAAGAAAGGAAAATTAAAATCCTTTAAATAGAGACACGACACTTTTTATTGGTTTTATTTTTGACCTTTTAAGGATATCTTTTATTTATAGTAGTTTTTTAAGTAAGTAATTATAACGTCAATTTAAAAATAAATTTTCTAAAAATAAATTTTATTGATTTTTTTTTTCCAATGTTTTAATTTACTCAAATAAAATAAAAGTAAATATTTTTTTAATACAAATTAATTTTCAAATTATTCAATTAAAATTTTTAATGAGTGTTCGTCAAAAGAAATTTCCTTTATGTCCTTATTATTATTTATATAATTATTTTGTTTTATTGCTTAGAAGAGTTTAAATTATTTTTGAATTTGACTATTTAATAAAGTTGTGGCAATTCAATGGTTTGTAATGTAGCACTTTTCCCTTCAGAAGTGAAAATGCAGCTTAAAGTGAAAAGCAATGTACTCATTATTAAATATGCCGACTACTTTATTTAAAAAATAATTTTCAATGATATACTCAACAATGTATAAAATTATTGCATATATTTAGGATGACAAAAAAAATATGAAAATGAAAGAAGCATTAGCGTAATGGTTAAATTCGACAGTTATGCAAATAAGTTAAGAAAAATAATTATATTTTTCAATGGGATAATATTTACCGTTACCGTTCTGCATTTATAAAAATTCGAATAAGTTTGTTGTTTCGGAAATATAAGGTGCAGAAAATTCAAATTTTACAAATTTCGCGAAACGATGACTTGAGAGGAGAACGAAGTACAAAAAAATTTTCCTCCAATTATATTAACTGTTCAGTAGAAACTAAAAGCTGTTAATATTTCAGGCTTCTCCAACTTATTGTCTGGAACAGAGGTTCCGAAACTTTTTTCCCTCGTAGACCCCTTGTTGTGTTTTTGAATTTTTGATAGATCCCCTTAATACTTATTTAATTAAATTCCTATTTTTTTGTAGACCCCTACCAGATGGCTCTATATAGACAACTTTGGGAATCACTGATCTAGAAGAAAAGCAGTATCAAAAATTTGAAAAAAATGGGTTTTACATAATAGTTAATTTCGGTTAACAGTCATTTTGTTACGCAAGGTATGCCACGTTTTAGAGAGCTCACCACTACTTTTTTGAGTTTGGAGAATTTTTAAAAAATGTTTTAGGTTTCGTTATAATAAATAGACTAACGAACGGATCGAGTGAAACTAAAAGTACTTTTTTTCAAATTTTTTTTGGAAAAGTTCTAAAAATGGAATTAAGAAATTTGTACCATTACAATCACGCAAATTATACAAAATTTGAGTGTCAAACCAAGAAATTCAAGACACAAGAAATTCCAGAAATTCACAAAATTTTTTGCAACTTCAATTCTAAGAAATGTGGAAACTTCAAATAAAAAGTTTTTAAAAGGGCTTGTAAAGTTCTTAAAATTAAAATTTTACCATATTTTTATGTAATTTTCGGAATTCTAATTTTAGAAATAATTTATTTTTTTTTGTTTTTGTTCTGATTTGAACCAAATTTTTTGAAAGCTCAAAGAAATGTTTTAGAAATAAAATTTTTAGTTGTTTAAGTTTTATTTTGTGAAAATACATACACGTATTTTAAGGTCCAGGAGTGCTCTAAAACAATATTGTCATCTTCTCTCACTTAATTGTAAATTTCTACTATTGCAATTTTCAATTATTTGTGATCCAAATAGAATCAATTCAAAGATTTTCAAAGGAAGCTTTAATTTTCAAAATCTTGTTTTTATAAAAAAGTTCACTTTTGTTTCAATTTCTTTTAATTTTTTTCTAATAGTTTGCCATGTTAATAAAATTCGATCCATCGAAATCTTTTCATTCTACTTCAGGACTTCCTTTTGGCCAGCAATTCCAATTATTTATTGGCTTTAAACTATTTTGTTCTTTTGCACGCGACAACCCTACAATCATGGGAAAGTATTTATTAACAGTTTATATATAAAATTTCATACACCTTTATATACAGTTGGACCTTCATATCAAAAATCACCACTTTGCAACAAAATTAGTATGTGTTAGAAAGAATTCGCGTTATGTGGTATAAAAAATAGAGCTATAAAAATGGGTAAAGCAAAATATAACAAAACGGTTCGAATTAAGGAGAATTTCGTCTTACGAATGTTGGCGTTATAGAAATTGAGACCTATAAAAATTGTAATTTTCAAAAAAAACTTTATAACTTAATTCCGACCGCATTGTGTATACAATAGGTAGGTTATGTGATGGCAAATAAATTTTGCATTTCGAGTTTTCGGTGGGAACGCACTTCTCCATGTTACTTCAAGTTCGGCTGAACCGATTTTGATGAAATTTTATATGTAAGTTTATTACTTTACTTTAAATTTACTTTAAATTTCATATATAAGTAAGTACACATTGCGGTGGGTTATGTGCTGACCATATCAGATTTTTTGTTATGTGAAAATGTGTGTATGTATCCTATACAATAGAAAGGTAATATTACATAGGTTGACCCCGATTATACTCAAAACTGTTAAATGAAATAATAATAGATTTTTAATTAAATTGGCGGTTAATAATAAGTTCAAATAGCATAATTTAAAATTAATTGATTTTACACTGAACATTAAAACACAAAAAAAAAATTTCCATGTGAAATAATTTTTTAACTATGCCGACAACCATAAAAACAGAAATTTTTTTTTTATTTTCAAATTTAATATTTTTTGTACAAATTGCAACATCCTTTATTATTTATTTGGCCCCGATGTTTTTCAATGAAAAATTCTTTTACCTGTCAGTACAATTTACTAGGATAATGACGGTATTCGTGTCCTAAAACAATTAACTTTAATTTTTCTTTTCTTTCTTCTTTGCTTTTATTTTCATTTTTAATGTTCAAATGGTCTAAATACTTTTATAAAAGAATTTTTTTAAGTATTTTTTTAGCTTCTTTCCTGTTTTTTTTTTTTTTTTTGGGTTTTGTCTTAAGATTTTTTTTTTAGTTTCATTTTTATTTCAAAATTGATTGTACATGAGTAAAAGAAAGAAGAAAAAAAAAAAAACTTCTACATTTTTTTTTAAAACAAATAAATTTTTTCTTTTTTTCACAGGATTAGCCCATAAATATTGTGATGAAGATGGTGAATGGTTTCGTCATCCACTTACAAATAAAACCTGGTCTAATTATACGACTTGTGTTGATGTGGACGAAATGGAGGTAAATAACAATTATGGTATAAAAGTAATAAATAAAAAAAAATTGTAATTTTTTTTTAAATAAAGTTGAACTTTTTTATTAAGACTTTCCCTTTTCAAAGTCTATAGGGTTTCTTCTGCTTTTTTCTTGATTTTTGTTTAACGTATGGGTTGAATGGTTTTTAATTCCATTATTTACTTTCAAAATGAATGGCAGATTATTTTGCTGTCTATAAGGAAACTTACTCTTTCTACGAGTACATTTTGTGTGAAATGTTTTTGAAAAAAGGAAATGTATAGAAAAGAAAAAGGATCAAAATATCAAAGTTTGTTTTTGAAAGAAAAAAAGGAATCACCTTTTACAGCAAATATAATGCCTAAAATGTATAGAGGATTGAAAATAATAAGTCAATACTTGAAATAAATAACAAATACGAATTTTAATAATGAACAGAAAAGAAACTTGAATTTTTTAGAAAAGGACGAAATTTGTAAAATTTAAATTTCTGCCTTAAAAAATTGGAAGCGTGAAAATTTGTTTTAAAGAACATAGGTAGTTGTTAAATAAATATTTACTGCTTTTATGAAAACGTTTTGTTTAAAAACTATTTTTTGATAATTCTTGAAAGTCTGTCAACGTAATTTACATAATACTCGAGTAAAATATAAAAATACAAACCCGCATATGCACATTTCCATTTTATTGCTCTGTTCATTTAGGTACCTCAGTTTTTTTTATGTTTGACATAAAATGGTTTCAGCATATCGGCTGAACCCAAAAGTATACTTATAATTTTAATTTGATATCCAATGGAAAGCGCTTCTATATTTGAATATACCTGTATTAATATTTTTTCAGAATGCATATACTGTAAGAAAGAGTTTCATCCATATTTGGGGTGTAGCGACGTTATGTTGTAAAAAAAAATTTCTAATAACATTGTCACGTATATTCTACGGTACAGGATTTTTTCTACACGTCAAAAGTGGAGCAATGCATTTTGAAAATTGTGTTGTTGTGTTAATCAAGTTTCACTACAGGCGTATACAAATGACAAAATTCCTATTAACACAATATTAAATTAAATGTCAAGTAAGCACAATTTAGCAAAAAATACGCTTGTTTTGAGAAAGTGTTTTATAAATACAATTGAAAAATTCTCATTTCTCATACACATACTCAAAAATGTGACTTAAAACACATATTTCCCTTTTCGGTACCCAAAATCACTAAAAAAAACATCTCCGCTAATTAATACTATTGCTTCAAAAAATGAGTTTAATAACATCAAGGCGCAAATTTTCTGTTTGGATTACTATACATAGATGAGTCAAGTTTAAGGTGAAGGTCAGCAAATTCATTATTCTTCTTCACTTAAAAAAATTTATTTATAATTGAATATTTTTTTTAAATTCTTATTGAATGTCTTTGTATAAATAAAAAGTTTAAAGACATTTGTATGGGGAAATTTTACATGCTAATGAACGCTGCTCCATAGTACGTTGCTCCTTAAATTTTAGTACAAGCAATTTGATCGAAAATCTGCCATTGTTCCGCATTAAAATATTTTTAATTCGCATTTTTATTTTTACGAGTCATAGGTTTTTTTTTGAAAAAATTGAAATTATTTTTTTTTTATCAATAAATTTTCTTTTTTATTGAAATTTAATAAATTTTTTTTTTCATATAATTGAATTTTTTTATGGTTATTCATAGTAAAAATCTTTGTTTTGTTCTTCACTTTTTTTAGTGGAAACAAAAAATTAATTTAATTTACGAAGCTGGATATTGCATATCATTAATAGCCATTTTATTATCATTAGGAATTTTAGCGTATTTCAGGTGAGTTTATTGTTTTAGTAAATATGAATTGATTTTAAAATAACATGATGATTTTAAAAATACCACGAAAAAATATAAAAATGCTTTTAATAATAACAAAATGTAAAAAAAAAAATCAATTATTAATTTATCAAGATTTTTTTTTTTCATTCTCTTATTTTTTTAAATGCTTGTTTTCATTCAATTTCAAATCATTTATTAAAATTTTCAATTGAAAATTGCAGTGTGTAATAATAAAAATTAAAAAATTTTTAATTACATTTTTAAAATAATATTGTTTCAGCATGAATAATTTAATTACTGATTTAATTGCTTTGATATACTTAAAATAATGGAAGCATTTTATTTTATAACAAAATTTAATAAAGACTGACTACTCATTTAGATTTTCTTTAATTTAGACTGACTACTCATTTAGATTTTTTTTTTGATGAAAAATAGGGACAAAAAATTTACATAATTAATTTGGTTTATAATTGGTTTGGTTATTCTGTTTTTAGGACATTGAATTCTTTGAATCTTACAAATTGGAGTCACCAAAAAGTTAGAGAATTCAACGGTAGTCATCCCGATAACATATGACTCTAATACGTATTAAATTCTTAAACATAATACTATTAAAATTGCATTTGTAATGCAATTACAAATTTTAATACAAAGTACATTAGCAATTTTTTGAAATAATGATACTGAAATGTGAAAACTTCTTAGCGTTTCAGAACATTTTATATTTAAAATTATTAGTTTTCGGAAATGAGCAATTTATATCGAATTTCTTTCTGGCTTTACAATATTTTCTTAGACCCTTCAATTACTTCAAATAAATACATTAGATACATATTTTTGACAATTATTTGCAGTGAACTATAATACATGTATGTGTATTGCCTTAATTTCATCTAAATTTCTAGATGAAATTTAGAGATACTTCAAGTTTTTGCTTGCAATAATTCAAGTAAATATTCCATTTAATTATATGAAATCGTTTCTTCAGAATTAATCACCCCAATTCAATCATTTTATGCATACAATAAAAAATTAATCCTTACACATACCTATATATAGACATATAACATATACATATATTGATTATTTTAATTAACATGCCAAACTGTCAATTTATTTGGTTTACTATAAATAATGAAGTATGGAAATTATTATTAAATGAAATAATCTCCTTTTTAATATTACGTGAATATTTTCATCATTGTGTGCGAAGGATATTTCAAAAGACTATCACACATTTTCATTTAAATTTTTATACAAATTTGTATATTCTCTTTCTTCTCTCTTCTATTAACAATAATTATAATAGATTTAATTATATTACCTAGATATTTTATAACTTTATTATTGATTAAATTGTGTTATTGACGACGCTGACAAATTAATAATATTAATACACTTTAAAAAAAACTGCGTTAATTATTTTATATAGTTAAAAAAAATTGTTATTAAAAAATTATATACAAATTTATTTAATTAATTTTTAAACTCTGTGGTTTATTGGTTATAAAATTTTAATCTGTCAATTATATTATTAATATTAATTGAATTTATAAAAAAATTAAAAATTAAAAAATCAATTTTACTTGCTATAGTAAAAATACATATAGAATGCTCTATTATAATATTATAATTCACTTATACATAATATGTAATATTTGTGCGTAAGTATATCAAGGATTAATTGTAAAAAATGTAATTAATACTTTTATTAATTGACTGTAATTAACTTTAAAATAATTATAAGTATGTAAAGCATATTAAATACAATATGTTAAAGTGTATAACAGTAATTACATATCCGGCCAATGATAATAATTTAATACCTTATTAGCAATTTCAACACACTTTCATGAACATTTACTTTTCGGTTGTGAATTTATGATATTCGTACAGTAGAGCAGCATTATTATAAAATTGTAATGAGAGTGACTATATGATATATTATACATTTTTTTATAACAACTATCTTCATAAATTGTGTATTTCAAATATAATTAAAAAGTATTGATAAATGTGAACCGTTCAGCTAGATTCTGTAATGTTAAAATAATTTGTAAATCTATAAATTAGCTAAAAATCCTTATAATATAAAAAAAATTGTCAACCCTGGCCCATTTCTCCCAATCATTCAAAGCGCGCAGGACCGTTGTCCTCGACACCAAAAACATGCCTCCAGCCCACTGAAAGGAGTTCACGCTTCCCACCAGGCGAAACCGTGAGCTCTGTTATTTCTGTACGTACCATAATGTCCCGGTACCCATATTAAATTTGCCTTGTTGTACCTAGCCAGGACGGTAAGTACATCAATGCATTCCCTTAGCAGTTTTGATCCCCTAACATCAAACTAGAGGACCACAAGAACGGCCCAATTTTCTGACATAACAAAGATCCTGCTCCTCCTGAGGTTCCTTCTGATACACTCCAAAGCACAAAGTTCAATGACTGTAACGATATTTACGCCCTAGCCGTACTTGATTTTTCTATACAATATCTTCGAAAAATATTTCAGACTCTATTAAGAACAATAAAATAACGCCATTACAAATTAATTAATCAAATATTTGTTTTAATAATTAAATTATTTAATTTGTAATTTTGAATTTATCCAAAAATTAATTTACCAAATTGAAAAAGTAAAAACCAAAATACTCGCAATAAAATATGTAAAATTTTTAATTATTTTTCATAAAAAATTTACTCATTAAAAAATTTATAATTTTTATAAAAAATATTAATTAAATTAATTTTCAAAATTTTTAATTTAAATTGCATTCAAAATTTCTTTTGAATATTTTATACCTATATAAATACAAAAAGTTATAATAATGTTAAAACAAGTCAAAAATATTTATTCCGCCATCATTGGAACCCTCCACTTTTAACTCAATAAAATAGAACATCGACTGTACTGTAAAAAATTATTAAACAGTAGAGTAACTCTTCTTCACGACGTCCATCATTACATTCTGCAACTTCTTTCATACTAACATAATACAAAATTATTTCGTTTTCAATAAATTAAAAAAGGACAACCAATTCTTGTTTCATAATATTTTCGGAGAAGAAACACTATAAATGCTATACTGAAGCATCCTTGTTAAAAGATACAAAATATTCTTTTTCCTCCTTTTCGAAATTCAATATTATAGAAATTTATAGTTTCAATTTCAAAAAAAATGTATTATTATGGTATGCAATTGTAAATATTTTCCTTTTAAATGATATCTTCAGAAAATTTTCAGAAAAAAACTATACATTCACACATATTATGTATACAATTTCAACAAATCATTTTCAATGCTCATGCTTATTTGAGTATACAAATTATACGTAGGAATAAAAATAACTATACACAATATGAAGGATATTGTGCTGAAAAATACTTTCATTTATAACCTTGAACTTTATATTGAACATACAAAAACAACAATGATATATTCTCCATTTTGTATTTAAATCAATTCCACATGATATACTCGAACACTCACTCTGCTCTTTCGATTAATTTTCTTCTTTATATTTTCATCTGTTGTTTTTATTTTTCCTTGAAAAATTATTACAATTTATTAAACATATTTCCAATAAATTTAAAATCTTCCTGCATTAATACAAAATTTTAAGAAAATTATGTATAACAAAATTTTATACATTAGGATTAGTTGTGATAAAAAAAAATAAACAAAATTTAAATTGTTCTTATATTTTATTTTTTTTTCAAAAAGTTTTGAAAATAAAAAAAAATATCAAATTTATATTACAGAAAGTTCCAAGAACTTATCCTTCTCTTTATTATTATTTTTTCATACAACACGTCATGCATACTTTTACATATACGAGTATTTTGTTTAAAACGTTTATACTAAGTGGAAATTTATTTTAAAGAGAAAGTTTTGGTATACCATGAGAAAATATAAATGACATTACAGTAGAAATAAGTTAATGACAAATAAGTTAAAAAGGGAATACGTACAAATTGGAAAGAAAAAAAAGAGATATTAAAGTAATGCCAAAGTAAACGTTTGTTGTGTATTCAAATTGATTCAAATTTCAGCAACTTCATTGGTAAAGTACAAGATTCTCGAAGCAGATTTTCGAATACTTAGCATTTTTCATAGAACAGTTTTTATTTCAATAACATAATATGTTAAGCAGTTGCAAAATAATATTACATCAATAGCAGCTGTAAACATTAGAAAGAACTTTAACTTGCTCTTATTAAAGAGGTTCTGATATCCTGGCAAGCCATTGCTTCTATCGAATTAATTCAAAAACCTTACTGCTCCATCCTGTAATAAAAGCTAAAAAAAAAAGAAAAACAAAAATTAAAAAAGTCCTAAAAAGTGGCATCATTTATTTTGGACCTTACTTTTAGGAAAAGTGAAGCGGTTTTAATTTTCAATTTTTTTTTTCGCAAATAAAAGTTGTTTATCAAAATCCTGGAATATGTTTTTTTTGGATCATCGATGTGCCACATCTGGTTCCCAAGATACAGAGCTTCATTGCATAGCCTTATATTTATTCGTTACCAATATGATTGATAATATTTCTCTGATCGATCACATAGATTTACTTCATCATTGTAATTAAATTAGGGCGAAAAGAGCAGTCATGGCGATTAGTGTTCTTTTAGTGTGGTTTGAACTGAGCAACGTCATGTTTTCTTTTATCTAAAACATGGAAATCCATAAGATTTAATACTCAACTTTCTAAAAATACCTGAAATTTCTTTACTTCGTAAATAACAAAAGTTTATGCCAAATTCAATTAATTATTTTATATTGTTGTAAACTCAATGTGATTTTCGCTATGTAATTCCAGAACAACTTGTGATCCTTTAAGTTAAGAATAAAAGAAAATTTAATAAAAGTTTTAAATAAAAAAGCATACAAATTTTATATTTTATTTTGTACCGCAGTAGTATGTACCTACAGTTTATTATAGCAAAGAGATTTCTTTCAATTCAAAATATTGGTTTGTGCTTTCATTAAATTATACACGTACTATATTTAATATTATATTTAAAAAGTGTTATATCTTGATTGTATCATAAATTTGTAAGAATAACAGAATTTTTATAGCAACTTGGTTAGACAAGTATAAAAATTTATACATAAAAATTGGTGTTTATAGTAAAAAAAAGTTTTTTTCTATTGACAAATTTCATATATTTGCCTGAAAATATGCAATTTTATATTAATTTTTAACTTTCTTGAATTTTATTAAAATTTTACATGTAAATTATTATACAGCCACTTAAGATGTAATTTTGTTATACATAGTAAAATTTACTATGAGAAAATTAAGTTGGCCAACATTTTAATTAATTCGAAAAATTTTTAATTCCTAAAGGAGTTGCCATAATGTAAGAAAAATTATTACTGCTAAAGCCCATACACTGTTTCATCGATTCAATTTTAATATTAAATTCTTGAAGTCAGTCGACTATATTGACTAATATTATTTATCTTGACTTATTACAAATTTTCTAGCTCTAATTTTGAATTGAAGACCACTGTGAAATGATTGCCATATTCTTCATGCTATTAATTACATTTTCAGCACTCTTTAAACTTTTCAGCTACCAAAATTATTTAAATTTTATTTGTTATAAAACAGCTTCTTGATAAACAGCTTGAATTAAATGTACGTATATTAAAAAATTGCATGCAATTTTAATTTGCTGCAAAATAAAAATTTATTACATAAAACAATACGTTTAATACATAAAAAGTATATTCAACAAATTGCTTCCAATTAAAAAGAAAGAAACTATCTAAGCATAATTAAAAATAAATATTGTATTGGAAACTACACAAACTAACAATTTAAAGAAAAATTTAAAGGTCTTTAAGAAACTATTGAACAGCATGAATCATTTATGTATTCGCTTCTATATTCAAAATGGAATGAAGAAAAAAATCAATAACATTTTTCTCTATATATTCTATACTATCAATTGAAGAATGTTTTTTTTTCTATAACTAATCAATCGTTTTGCTGCCTTCAAATAATTATAGCATCATCAATATAATGACCATTTAGAATGAAAATTAAAAAAAACAGACATATTGATTTCAAATTTAGAAATGTTTTAAATTTCAGATCATTAAAATGTGCAAGGATAACATTACATATGAATTTATTTACAACATTTGCTGGTAATAATTCATTATGGCTTATGTGGTATCGTATAGTGGTTACGGATCCCGATACATTAAGCGAGAGTGGGGTAAGTATAAATTATTTCAATGTTTGAACTTTTAATTTTTTTTCTACTCTATTTCTTCTCTGTTTCATAGCTAGTATTTCTTCTTTGCAGAATAAATAAAGCTATACGCTTAAAATGGAGTGCTATAGTAGGAGCTATTGTTTGAAATTAAAATTTTGCACTTAAATTCAATACTATAATTTCGTGATTTCCATTTAAATAACATATATTTGTTTTTCGGAATTTTCAAATTCATATTGCGTCACTCAATAATTATGTCACAAGAATTGTTTTATTTTAATAGTTCATAACATAGCAGGATGAGGCGAATTATAATATTTATTTGTGAATATGATAGAATATGAACAAATTCAGAGTTGTTAGATGGTGTTCTAGTCTAATTGAAAAATTTTGTAATTTTCGACCTCTGATATAACAAAATAAGATCTCATAAAAGAGAAAACAAATTTCTTACTCTGAACGTTGTTCTGATGTGGTGAAAACCGAACAAAAATCTATTTTGTAACAGGTCTACATCTGCTCTCAGATAAAAAACAAAAAAACCAATATTCAATGAAATATATTTCTAATATGAACTAATAGAATAATTCAAGTTATATTCATACTCATTATTTATAAGCTTAAATTCTCTTTCGAAAATTGCTTTAAAAATTGTTCAAAGCTCTCAACCCTAGCTATCAAACTGTTTTCCCTATATAGTTTTATTAAAACTTATTAAGTTGTGATAATTGCAATATGCTTTGGAAAAATTTATTAAAAATGCTTAACTTTAAAAAAGTTTAAACATTTATCCTGCTTATAACTAACTAAACTTTCTTTGAGTTTTTTCAATTTCTTTGTAATTGTAGTACATTGTAGAACACGACCGCATTTAATTGCTTAACTGTCATTAAGCTCAATTACTTGTACTTTCCTAGTATAACATTTGTAATTTTTTAAATTAATTCACTTAAAATAAAATACCTATAAATTTTTTTTTAAAATTTTCTTTCTTATTCTAATTTCTAAATTTCATGCTGACATCATTTCTTATTTCCTTACATCGTTTATGCGGACCACCATTATTGTATTTTAAATTGAATATGTGAAAAAATACCGAATACGCTTTAAATTTCTTTTGTTTGATTCTTTGGATATTCACTTGGTCAAATCGATTAACCTACATTTTTAAATATTATGGCTGATGCAAATTTTATAATATGATAATATTACCAACAAATTTATACACACAACGATAAATGGAATTTTATGGACAAAAAACCAAATAACACGATAACAACAACTACAAAAAACAAACGACATCTAAATTGTTCTACGATATGAAAATTGAAAAAACAAAAAAAAAATCCAACTACAACTACAAATAAATTTGTGTAAAAAAAAAAAAATTATGTTTTTCTTTTTTAAAACGAAATGAAGGCCGGATGTGTTATGCTTCATTTAGTTTTACATTATTTCCTGTTAACAAATTATGCATGTATGTTGTGTGAAGGATTCTATTTGCATACAGTTCTAGTTTCTGCTTTTATATCTGAACAAAAATTAGTTAAATGGCTGATTGCATTTGGATGGACATCACCAGCTGTTGTCATTTTTATTTATGGTTTAGCAAGAGGTTTATCATCTAATCCAGCTGATAAAATCCAGTAAGTTTTATTGACTTTGTTATAAAATGTATATATAAATATTATATTAATACATCTATATATATTGTTGATTTTGTGTACAATGTAAGCATAAGTAGGAACAAACTTGAAATAAATGTTACCAGATATCAAAAATTTACTGAATGCTGAATTTAATTCATTGAAATTGTTCTCTGTTATAGATTTAGCATAACACAAGTGAAACAAGAGTAACATTTTAATTTTTGTTTCTTTTAAAATGTTTTAAAAGAGCTTTTCCCTTAAAAATTAAGTTGAGGAAATCCAAGTAATAACAAACATTTACTTTTTATAATATTATATAAAGAGTATTGTCCTTTCATTTTTTTAAACGCAAAAATATAAAACTATCTATAAAAAGTTTCAGAAAGTGTTAAATATTTTATGTAATTCATTTTGATCAAAGGTCGACTTGCCTCTATTCAATTTAAAATACCGTCCTTTGAGTTCTTACCGCTGATGCAGTCTTAAATGTCAAATAATAAAAATCTTCAGGATTCACTAAATACGTACACCCAAAAAGTAGGCAATTAAAATTGAATCCAAAAGATACTCAAAACAACTAATGAAAAAATTATAAATCAAAACTTAACTATCAAAAAAACTGTTATATAGTACTTTTTAATAAAGTTTCTTCCAAATTACTTCAAAACTGGTAACATCCACTTCATGTTTGTATATAAAATTAAATAAGTACTAGAAGTATAACGTGTACATATACATATAAGCATTTTATATGTAAAAATGTTTATGAACTTGCATTGTTCTCAATATTTTGTACATAATATCTAACAATGTTCATATGTATAACATTTTCTAATAAAAAAATTTTTTGTATTTATATTTATATAGCTGTTGGATGAGCACCGATGTTCCACAAACAAATATTTTAGTAGTACCTGTATGCATATCAATGCTATTAAATTTAGTATTCTTGTGTAATATAGTAAGAGTTCTTCTATTAAAATTACGAGCACCAGCGGGACCACAATCAAATGGACCATCAAATACAGTATTACAGGCATTTAGGTAAAAATATTTTCTTATATTTATAGTTATATTTTTATACAATTAAAATTGTAGTTATTATACGTACATATATTAAGTATAACAGATTTTTTATAATGTATAACAGATATGAAAATTTTTTTTGGAAATCAAATATTTCTTTAAAAATTAATACCGCTCATAAAAAAATTGTTGTTATTGTAGATTTTGAATTAATGAGCTCCAATTTTATATAAAGAGATAGCTACTTCAGCTGTAAGATTATAAAGATCTTATATTATTACTTTAGTCGATTAAATTGAAATTCGAAAAGTAATATATGAAAAACTTTAGATTTACTCTATTACACCCAATGTTCAACGAATTTTAGAAGAATGTTATTTTAATTCAGAATGTATGAATATGAAGAAAGTTAGAGTTGGCTTTTTGTAGACCCAATTATTCTATGGTCAAAACTAGATAATTGCAATAGTATATTTTTCGCTGTTTTGCATAAAATGAAGGAATTGATTAATTTGTCCGGTCTTTGTTTTCCTGTCACTGTATATGTAATTTTATAAACTCATAACATTTCACTAATATTACTTTCGTATGTAGAATAGAGAAATATAGGAAAAAATCTTACTGACATGTTTATGACTTTTCAAATTTAATGAGAGAAACAGAAAACAATTCCTTCTCCTTCTTCTATGTTTTGCCATTTTTTTTCTTTTTTTTTTTTGTTCTTGAATAATGATATCACATTTCAATTTGAAAAATTTGTTCTATTTTATGGACCTAGTCATAAACAAGTTATTATTGTTTTGTATTACTCTTGTTATTGTAGCAACTGTGAAAAACCTATAAATTTTTTTTTCTTCGCATATTAAAATGAAAATGGAGGGAAATATCTTAGAACAAAATGCAATGCAATCTGGAACAATAAAAATTATTTTTAGAATATTATAAAAATTTCAATTTTATCTTCTGCTACTAATATTTTTCAACGTTTTTCATTTTTATTTTACGGCAACTGCATGCGTTATTGTTGTCCTTTTATAAAGGATTATAAAGAACGCGAATAAAATGTCTTCTACATTTTTGTTAAGTCACATGTAATACAATATGTTGAAAAAAGCTATAATGATTTTACATTTGAAACGGGGGAGAAATACGTAAATGACATGAAATGAGATAAAATAAAAGAAAAAATTAAAATTTTAAAATTAATATTTTTTTATTTGGTTTTATTTGGTATTAGTGTGGACATTATATAAATGTAAAACTTTGTTGCATATATTTTAATTGTCTTCAAATTCAATATGAAGCATAATATCCAGTAATAAGTAAGGATAATAGAAATTTAAATAACTTAAAGGCGTAATTTTCAAATAATAAAATGTTTTACAATAATTTTTTTCATTAGAAAAAAGAGAAGGCGTTCGTAAAATATAAAACTTAAAAGACATTTTGTTTTTCATTTTCGTTATTACAACACCTAAAGCTTTTATATTAAAAGACACAATTGAACATTTTAAATTTACTTTTATATGTAAACTACGCAAAAATCCTCTTAAAACAAAGTGTTTTGATACACAAACAATACTGTCAACGATATTATTTTTCAAATAACCATCGGCACTACTATAATGTCTTAAACGAATTTTGTTGCTACTTTCTCTTCGTTTAGCTGATGCTAAAATATATCGTGATAGGCCAAACGAACAGATCAGTAACCACAAGATTGAAAGAGCATTTGAATGAACAAAGTGATTAGGAATTTACAGTTTTAATTACAGTTGGTGTATAAGAAAATCCAGCAGATAATTTCAATGGGATAACGAAAACACACAGAAAACTAATTTGTGAAATGTAATGCAGGGATAAGTGCATTGATAAACTATTTAAGTTATGAAACAATTTTTAATGTTGTAGCCCGCAAGTGCGATAAAGTAGGAATATTGGGCACGTAATATGCAGGTAATCTCGCATCTAAATTGATTGCTATAGTATAGGATTGTATAGAATCTTTTAAACAGAGTTGGTAAAATTTTGTGCGGAAGCAATGTTCACAATACAACGGGCTCCAAGTTACGGGCTTTGAAATCAATCTCGACCGTTTTTTTTATTTCTTAAAATTTTAAATATAACTCCGTTCTGTATCAGAGAGGCGTATAATTAAGAATGATTTGGAAACGACAGAATGCGAATAACCTTATGAATATTCTATATACTAGGTAAAATATTTTGACAAAAATTAAAGTTCATTCAATTTGAATACAAATAAAGTTTCTTCTTAACATTAAAATATTAGAGAAATTGGAGTTTTGGAAAATTATCAAGCGATTCAATTTGTAAAATATTTTTGAATTAATAAAAATTTTTTTTGAAAATAACAATTTTATTTACAATATCCCTCTATAGTATTATAACACAGCATCTTATTAATTTAAGTGCATAAGGGTACAATTGCTTAAGTATATAAAGGACGTGCATGCAAAGGAAACTATAAGAATTCTCTCTAATAAATTTGAAACATAATTTCATTTTAAAACATTGTATGTATAAGATTGTGAGCTAGTAATAAATTATTCAATAGAAATTTCTAGACAAAACTACAAAACTGGATTGTTTTCAAAATCGATAACAAGAAAAGAGAGCACTTAGAATGTTATTATTTTTTCGATTGATAACCCAAAAATTTATTGATAACAATAAAATTTATTTAAGAATCCTCTAAATTTTTATTAAAAATAAATTAAATTTTTTCGCAGAGAAAAATCAGATATTTTTTATTAAAGAATTAGAAATTTAATTTAAAAAATTTTAAGGGATGATCGTTTTTTCTTTATCTTTAAAAACTTATTGAATCCGTTCCAAAAAAAAAAAACAAAATCCTTTTTTTTTTTTCTTAATTTTTTTAAATTCATCGATTAATAATTATCCTTTTTGAAAAAAAAAAATTTCATATTAACTAAAGTTCTTTTCCTGTTCTTTAATTTTTTCATTTACGCCTTAATTTTTTTCTTACATTTTTGCATTACTCCTTGCAAGGGGTTGCAATTTTCTTTTTTAATTAATTTCCTTTTTGAAAAAATATTGACTTTTTTCTTTCTTAAGTAATAATGAACTTTTTTAAATTATTTTTTAAATATTTTCTTTGTTCTTTTTTCTTTGCTGGGGAACAGGGCAACTTTACTATTAGTACCATTACTTGGCCTTCAATATATATTGACGCCATTCAGGCCAGAACCAGGACATCCATGGGAAAGACTTTATGAAGTTGTTTCTGCATTTACAGCATCATTTCAGGTAAATGAATAAACTTTTATATTTTTATAATAAAATGTAGCTATAGTAATAATGTAAGTAAACTACAATATTGCATAAGCATAAAGGTAAAAGAATTAAGTTATATAGAGTAATAAGATTAGTGTCGTTTTTTTTTATATTCTACATGTACGTAGGTACCATACGTATTATAAAATCGATTAAATTTTCATTGACAATATTAGAATTACATTAAGTACGATGTACAAAAGGGGATTACATGAGTAAAAAAAAAATAATTTTTAAACTACTTTATAGGTGTATACAAAAGATTAGATTTAATTTAATTCATTCGATTTTGTGGTTTTCTCTTAATACCTACATATCTTTTCGTAATACCATAGACAAAAATGCTATTAAAATTTATAGGGTAAACTGTGTAAAAATTTTCAAAAGAAATGCTAAAATTTTTTTTTCCTTTTTTAATTAATTTTAGAAAATCTATAAGTTTATAAACAACTCTTATCAATTTTTTAATAACACTATGTTTATCTATTCTGGTAAGTTTAATACAATTCAATGGAATTTGTTTACATTATGTTACTATTTAAAAAATTTCTTTACTAGAATTTCTCAATTCATTTCATTTCAATAAATCTTTATTCCAAAATAAATTCAAACTTGAAATAATTACTAGTATACACACAATAGTCTTAGAACTACATTATGTATATTAATTTATTAAATGAATAGTGATGTACACGCATGGCTGGGTGAACTTCATAAAATATCGCTCAAATACCAAAAATTTGCAATAAATAATAGTATTCTATAGTCCAAAAAGGGTCTAGCGCCGAATACCCCCCTAAATTTACAATATATAAATTAAATATAAGAAGAGATAAATATAACTTAAAATAAATTAAGTTATTATATATAAGTATCAGTGCAAACAATTTAGTTCATATATGAATGATCAAGAGTCTTCAAATCAAATTAATTATGCTAATACCCTTTTTTTAAATTTTCAACATCATTATAATCTTTAACAAAAAGCGAAGACTTAGTCGTAGTCCTAACTCAGAATGTTTTACAAATTCTAATTCTTCTAATGTCAAGTGGCAATTTGTTAAACACTCTAGGAGCACAAATTGTAAAAAATCTCATATAGAAGGCCTTCGAATAGGGTTGAATTACAGCAAAATTTTGCAAGTTGCCTCGTAAATTATTAATAGAAGAGAAATTTTTCAGGTAACCAAAATTTAGTCTGCAGAAAAATATTTTTTAAAACTTTCTTCAGTAACAATATTTCTGAGTGGCTACAAATATGTCGGAATCTAAATAAATAAAGCAGGTTTTAAAAAATCAAAATGTTGCAGCGATACTTTGAATCTTAGGAACTTTTCGTTCACAAATTTTTCCATTCAATTGCATATTTTCACAAATTTAAGACTATACTAAAAATTAAACAAAATTGCTTAGACAAATCTTTGCCTCTTAATCTATTTAATATGAAAGAAAAAGGATTATTAAATTCAATTATGCTAATAAGACACAATGCTGGTTTATGATGAAAAATTTTACCTATTATCCTTTCTTTATTTTGATTGTTTTTATTATAAATTACTTTTTTTCTCCTATCGTATCCTTTTTGTTTTAAATAATAACTTTACTCATTCTTAAAGTAGAGTGGCTTTTTGAATGTAATATAGAAAATCGGTAGTGGTTTAAATGAGTAAAAACAAAAAATATTAACCGGGATAAAATTAAAAAATTAAAAAAATGAAATGAGATTTTCACACGCTAATTCGTAAACTTTTTTGTGTTAAAAAGTTTTTCACAATGAAAATTGTTATGTAGCTGTATAAGACCAATTAGTGATGATTTTAATATGTATATGCGATTATTGCGAATTGCAAAAGTAATTTCATTAAGCAGTTTAAAAATGATAAATTGAATTAACATTTAAAACTGTTATTTGCAAAGAATAACATTATTAAATTTCTAGAAATTCTGTCTAAATAAGAAAACAGCAGTACTGAAATTTTATATTTACCTAATAATTATGAAAATCCTGATAACTGTATCATAAAGTTCCAAAATAATTGTGCAATTTATAAATGAAATAAGCTGTTGAAAGATTTTTTTATTAATCTTAACACTTCTCATGTTGAGAACAGTTTCCTTGTATTCCCACCAAGTATGTGCAGAGGAGTTAGTTCGAACAGTATGTATTTGCACTTGTATTCAGGCGTCGTACAAATTATTATTAAATAGAAGAAAAAAAATACAAAAATTAGTTTAAAGTTTTTTTAAACTTGCAAATACGCAACTAATCCATTAAATGACTATCTCAAACCAACCAATTACTAGAATTGAATAGCATTTCTCCCAACATTTTTATAATTTTGAATTCCATACTTCATCATTTCACATTCTATACGATATGATCTTTTCCTTAATTTTAAAACTTTGAATTTTACCGACAAATCAAAACAATAAAATTTATACATAGCTTCCGCATTATCGAAAATTTCACAAATTTATATTGAAAAATTTTAAATATTGTTCAAAATATAATTAATTAATTACAAAAATACTTTCATAATCATTTCATTTTGATCAATTGAAATTTATTTCGCATAATTATTATTCTTTAACATCAAAGTAAAATTTACATAAGGCTACCCATATTTTTCGTTCCGAAACATTAAAATCAATACGATAATAGCCATCTGGAATAACTGATGCACCTAATTGTAAATCATCTAAATTTATATCCTGCAGAATTATCTCATGCTATTGGAAAAAGAAAGTATAAATTTTTAGTATTAGAATTATTTTTGTTAAAACCCATTAGTTTTTTTCTGAATTACAAAAGAATTTCATTCATTTTCCTCTCATTCACTCAACTCTATAAACTTTTCTCATTTCATTCCAAAATAATTAGAATTAATTATCTGTTTGTGCAGTATTCTAAAACTTACAGTTATTGGACAAGTATGATTTATATTTGAATATTTTTCCAATATAATTTTAATGACATTTATGATGGGATTGAATTTTTTCGTTTTCATATATCCGCAAAGGCTTACATTACCGGAAAATACCCATGGTTTCCAACCGCTTAATCTTTTAAACATATTAACTTCCAACTAAAATTTATATAGAATTTGATTTAACATAATTATGTATAATTAAAATAATTCCGTACGTACATCCAAATATTTTAAGGGACGTAAAGGAATTGCACGAATATTTGCAACTCTCGTATATCTATTAATAGCTGATATACCAAATGAAACATTAGTAAACCATGTTTTGTTTTCAAAAGCTTCTAAATTCCTAAATTTTAATACTGGTTTCTATTGAAAAACAAAACAAAAATTTACAATATCTTAAAATTTAATAATATTCTAATGAGTTTTCTTACGCGTTACCTTTTTTTGAAACTGTTCTTCAGTAACAAAAACCAGCGACATCAAAATTCCGCAAAGGATTATTTTAACAAATGTCCAATCCATAATTGAACGATAAATGAAAAGCTTCAAATGTCATCTGTTATACGAAATGATATTTGACTAGAAATAATTAAAAAGAGGGAACAATTTAATAAATTTAGCTAAATCGCTTTGATAATCTTCAAACAAAAAGCGAAAAAATTAAAATATTTAAAATTTAAAAATTTTCACGCAAACTGAATTAAATATCTGATAAATAAAAAACTAATTAAACCAAACTCATTCAAAATAATTTTTAAGAATTCTAGACATGTGAAAGGGGCGGTAAAAATTTTCCACACGAAAACTCTTTAAAATTTTATAAAATATCGAAGAACTTTTACGAGTATGTAATTCATTCACTTACGGTAACGTCGGTAAATGCGGTTTTTCTTAGAAGGACTCTTTAAGAAATATTTGCTTCTCCGGTGCAAAGCCAGGTAGCCGTAGTTTTCAGACATAACAAGCAATATTTTCATATTTTTGGTCCGAAATCCCGCCCTTAATCCGTACTAAAATCGACTTTAGTTCACGCGACAACAAACTCAAACTTAAATGGTATTATGGTGACCAAATGCGAGAAATTACAAGAAAACCGAGTCACGGAACGGAACCAATTTTAAAATTGCTTAAAATCTGATAAAAATTAACATAAAAATTAAACACCCAAAATTCGAGTTAATGGTTTTCCTGTGTTATAACAATATTGAACTTATTCCAAAAACCCCTTTAAAATATCGTGCCTTAATTTTTGGTTTTATTTACTATAACAATATTGGACATGGTTTGTTAATTTTTGGATATTTTTTTCATTTATTCGTTTCAATACACAAGATCAAAATTTCAGTTGATTGGGAAACTTAAAATTCGGAATGACAACACACTTTAATCTTAGTACAGAAATATTTTTGGAAAAAAAAATTTCAAAACCGACTAATATTAAAGGTTTTTAGTTTACTAAGCTTAACACGAAAATTTTGTTCCAAATAATAAAAAATATTGAAAACTTGCAAAATTTACTCTGAAACTGATGGTATTATAGAATTCAAATTTAATATTTCAAAATAATATTGAGTTTTTAATTTCTATACCAAATAACATATAATAAGTGTATTTTTAGTTCATAACCTATTTTTATGGTATATTCCTACTTTAATTACCCTTATATCGTATTTCTCATATTTCATTTTAATATCATAAACGAGTTGTTTAATTTACTATCACGCTATAAATACAAATTCACACACATAATTGCCAAATTTTGATTGTTTTTTTCAAAATATTCTGATCTTAATCTAAATCATATTATATTTGCTTGGTCTAATGAATCTCACTCCGTATATTAAAAAAATTAGAATATTTTTTTCTCTTTTCTTTCATTTAGCAGTCTAAACAGATAATAACCGCTTTTTAATTCAATTCTAACATTGAACACGTACATGTACATACGAATGCGTGTGTCCGTAAAATCTAATCATTAAATGGTTTTAAAGTGACCGTGAATAAAAAAAATATCGAGATTAAATTTCGTTGATTAATCGT